TTCTGCAAAATTTTGTCTGGACATATATCTGATGGACTATCACTCAAACTTCTTCCTTCCTTCCTTCCTTCCTTCCTTCCTTCCTTCCTTCCTTCCTTCCTTCCTTCCTTCCTTCCTTCCTTCCTTCCTTCCTTCCTTCCTTGTGTTAGCAAACGTATTTTGAAATTGAGCAAAAACAGAAACCATGCGCAATTCTCTCTCTCCCCCCCCTCCAATCTGGATGCTCCTCAAAACAATCTTTTTGACCCTCACTGCAGCATGCATCTTATAATGCCACCCTCCCTTTAAACAGCCACAAATATTCCTTGAAACTACAGATCCATTTCTGTGGAAAATAATGGGTAACTGTCAACTTTTATGTTCACATGAATTTTAAGATGACTCCTGTAATCTTATTGCTAAATAATCTCATTTCAGTATTTACTGTATTTCCTTGGTATGTTTTGAGACCCGATTTTTAGAGTGCAAGTTTGTGCAGATATGCACCAGCTGCCATAAAATTGGACTGCAGCAAAAATTTGAGCGATTTTAGCAATTACAGCATTAAAGGAAATGCTTGGTTTAATGTTGAACTCCACAGTGGAGAAAGAGTTAATATTTTTAGATTGTTTTTATAGTATTACCTCCAAGATTTCCCCATTTCTTAAATAAAATAGCATCACCAGGAACTCTGAATTAGAAAATGTTGAAAGCAAACACAAGTTACTTTTAAGAAAGTATTGGAAAACCATCCTGGCCCTCGCTGAAGGCATCATTTGTTAATCATTTTAAGTACTGGATGGAACTTCTTTTCATCCTAATGTGGTTTAAGTACAAGAAATCGGGATTTCCAGCAAACACTAAAAGGCTGCAGTATAGAAATATAAACCTCCCAGATGCCTCAAATATAAACTTCCCAGATGCCAATCTTTTCCTCCATTCACGTGATTGAAGATAGCACTCGCTGACTGCCAAGTGACAGTGGTGTTGAAAGCATGACTTCACAGTAATGGAGCACATTGTGAAATTTCCTAGCAGGTTGGAAAAACTGTTGGCAGTGCTTGTATCTACACACAAAGGCAAGGTGTGAGAGCAACAGGAGTCAGCTCTGCAACACATTTATTCCCGATTAATAATCCCATGTGAATGTTACAGAGATTCTGTGAATGTGCTTACTTTCAACAGATGTACTGAAAGATATCCCTTGTGGAGTCACAACATAGCCTTGCCACAACATGATTATGTTTTGGCAAAGTTGGTAGTTAGATAATTTAATTTTCCAGCAGAGAAAACTCTTTAGTACTGATGCCTGCTTAGATCTCTGTTCAGCTAAGATGGGAAGTGGCTAAAAGCTGCCCCAAATGATATTATGTGACAAATGCAGTATTTAAGTGTACCTCTTCAGAAGAGCCTTCATTTCTCAAGATAATAAGGCAAGAGCTGGGACATACTCTTTCATAAAGCAAAGCCTTGTGATAGGATCTTCTTTAGAATAAAATAATTGAGATAATCCTTAGAATGCTATCATTTTCCTTCTGTTGTTTAGTTATTTCAACAGATGTACTGAAAGATATCCCTTGTGGAGTCACAACATAGCCTTGCCACAACACGATTACGTTTTGGCAAAGTTGGTAGGTAACTTAGTTTTCCAGCAGACAAAACTGTTTAGTACTGATGCATGCTTAAATCTCTGTTCAGCTAAGATGGTGAAGTGGCTAAAAGCTGCCCAAAATGCTATTATGTGACAAATACAGTATTTTAAAGGCATTTTTTGGCTTTTGCCATTGGTGTTTGTATAGGAATAGCACTACCTTCTTATCTGAATTCACCATTTTTAAAAAATATGAAGTCTGTAACATTCTTCTGCTATTACTGCTGCTATTACTCAATATGAAATTGACTGAAGTAAATTCCATGGAAATTCATTAAATATTGAAGGAAATCTAGTCCATATGGTGTGTTTACTTACGTATGGGCACCATCTTGTAGACAGCACAGCATTTGCCAACCTCAGCACTTTAAAGGAGTCTGGACTTCATTTCTCAGGATTCTCCTCTAGCATATAATTAGTTAGCTTTGAGTAGACACTTTTGGGGGAATCCATTTGGAAAGACCTGGCGATCTTGGGAGCTATATTCACATACAGCTACTGCAGTGAGCTTAGTCAGTCACAAAACTAGAATTCCTAGTTCTAGGTGGCTAAAACCCAAGTGACTGGCTGGCACATCCAAACTTTTTCTGTCATGTAGTGGTTGTTCAGATATTTTCACTTCAGGCCCACAAGGTTTAATATACCAGAAGCAAACAAACCTCAAAGAATTTCCCTAGTCACTCTAGTTTTCAGGGTCTAGTTTTGTGGTATGCCCACATCCTAATTAATTTGTTTTTTTTATAATAAAGAGTTTTTAATGTTGGATGGGACTGGGAATTTAGTAGGCATTGAAGGGTGTATCAGGGATTACACTAGTGATTGCAAGCTAATTATAACAGCAACTACTTCAAATAAAATACTTGATTACAAATTTGAATTGCATCTTTTTGAATTAATATAGTAGTTAAGAATATTGCCATTTCATTTCAAAGTTTGAAGTCTAATTTTATACTAAAAGAAATTAACTCAAGTAAAACAAAAGTTGCTGGCAGTTGCTCTGGGTGAAGAAAACTGGCCACAATTACATTTCTGGTTTTGTCTTATCTCACTAGCAGTTTTGAATGTGGAAGTAGAAAACGACCTGTAAATAGACTGGAAAGTTGAAAAAATATTATGAAATAAGGCAGCTACAAATCACTTTCATATTATGGCTGAGAAAATTACACTGACATGAGCATGAAGTAATCAAAGCCTCAAAGGAGGCCTCCCTTAAACGTGTTAAGTTGTGTTGTGTGGTAAGCGCTCTTCCTGACTTTGTCATGAACTTTGGGACAGGCTTTTCATTATCGAACTAAAAATCACAAAGTAAAAGAAAAGCTAAATCCTGTCATTTGACAGGCATTAAAATGATGCCTGTTAAATGAACAATGAAAAATGATCTATTTTGCTTCTCTACCTAGCTATATCCAGACATTATACCACATTTACAGAGTTGCTTCCTATTTTCTTTAATCTTTTTCTTCCATTTTTCTTTTTCTTCCATTCAATCGTGTTCAATTCTTGGAGATTGCCTGGTCAAGTCTTGGAGTTCCTGGCAAGGATTTTTAGAAGTTGTTTGCCATTCCATCCTTTTTAGGGCTTAGAAAAGTCACCCAACGTCTGACTGACCCAATGTCACCCAGCTGGTTTCAGTCTCCCAGTTCTAGCCTGATGCCTTAGCCACTACACTAAACTACCTCTCTTTCCATGATTTTCTTTGTTTTAATGTTAATAATTAGAGAATGAAGTTTAGATCCCCATAAAGTTCTGCCATGCTTCTTCTTCCCATAAAATAGGATTTATGTTGCCCCCCCACCCCAAACAGGCTTCATGACCAGCTCCTTTTCCTACAGGTTGAACCATCTCAAATCCATGTGCTGCTTAGCAACTGTCACCTCCAACAAATGGCAGGTTGAAGCCCCTCCCCTGCAGTAAGCATTTGCAGTAAGCATTTGGAGGGCTCTTTATGCACTATGACTCTGATTCATTCCATCTTCCACACATGTGCTGCTCACTGGCTTGTTTCTTGTCTCTCTCCCTGTCCTTGGGTTGTTACCCAAATAACCCACTTGCTCTTCTCCCATGTCTTACATATTGGAGGAACCTTCTGCAAAATTTTGTCTGGACATATATCTGATGGACTATCACTCAAACTTCTACCTTCCTTCCTTCCTTCCTTCCTTCCTTCCTTCCTTCCTTCCTTCCTTCCTTCCTTCCTTCCTTCCTTCCTTCCTTCCTTCTTTCCTTCCTTCTTTCCTTCCTTCCTTCCTTCTTTCCTTCCTTGTGTTAGCAAACTTATTTTGAAATTGAGCAGAAACAGAAACCATGTGCAATTCTCTCCCCCCCCCCCAATCTGGATGCTCCTGAAAATAATCTTTTTCACCCTCACTGCAGCATGCATCTTATAATGCCACCCTCCCTTTAAACAGCCACAAATATTCCTTGAAACTACAGATCCATTTCTGTGGAAAATAATGTCCATCATCATGCATCTCTCTGGCCACACCAGAGCAGATTTACTCCCCTCCACTTTCATCATGCCTCTCAATATACTTGTTTGAAGGGTGTGCAGGACAGGTCCTCAGTCCTGGCTCAGGTAGAGGCAGTAGATCAATGACTTTGTGTCATTGTAAAACCTCAGCCACAATGGGGCCTGTTTAGTCCTTGAATAGGAGACCACTAGGAAATCTCAGAGCTATGGGTTGCATTGGGAACTCAAGAGAAAGACTTTGACGCTGTTGTCAAGCGAACTGTATAGAATTGACCTGGAAAGAAACTGTACTTTCACTTCACTTTAGAAAAAAGGGTTACAGCGAAGGAAGATTTATAACTGGCTACCTGGCGGCGGTAGAAAAACCACTCGTCCTGGAAGACAGCTCCGCACGCGTGTTGAAGAGTGAAGGGGGAGCAATTGCACAGCCGATACCACGCATGTGTTAAAGCGGTGCTGAGGTAGTGGCAGCAACCTCGGGTGCCACGTCCCCCCCCCTTTTGACCTCGCGGCTTAATCCGGGCAAAGGCCTCCTCTCCCCCCTTCTTTCCGATCTCTTTCCCCAGGCCGATCCCTTCTGTGTGGCAGATCGCAGAGGATCCGTCGTCTCTCCCCCTCCCCACTCCCAAGAGCGTGTGTGTGTGTGTGTGTGTGTGTGTGTGTGTGTGTGTGTGTGTGTGTGTGTGTTTGTGTGTGTGTGTGCATGACCAATATATATATTACATATATATATATTAATATATATTACATACATACATATATACACACACATACATACATACATACACACATACATACACACACACACATACATACATACATAAAGGAAGGATAAGGAAACGATTTGCTTTTTTGAACCCCCCGCCCCGAAAATTAATTCGGCTGAAGGGAAGAGAGCGAGCGAGCGCAATGGCTCATCCCGCCAGCGGGACCTGGTAAAGAGAGGGAGGGACGGAGGGGGGGCTCTCTCTCTCTCTCTCCCCCCACTACCTTCCACACTACAAATAACTAAATAAAGGAGGAGGCAGGTTTGTCTACGATCGAGGAAGGCGGCGGGAGAGCGTGTGTGTGTGTGTATGATGGTGATGGTGGGGGTGAAGTCAGAGATAGCGAGAAAGAGAGAGATGACTCCTCCAAACCCGCCTAGCCCAGGCAGTTTTTCGTTGCTGGATACAGCAGTACCTCCTCTCAAAATGATGCTGCGGACACTACTACTCTTTTCCCTCATCCAGGGGTAAGCCGCGTTTTCTGTTTTGCTACGGAAGGCTGGGGAAAACTGGAGGGGGGGGCGCGATAATGAAGTGGGGGGGGCTGGGGCTGGGGGGGGGGAGACGGTGCCGATTAGAAATGCATAAGGCTTGGAAGAAAAATGCTGGAGAGCGGCTGCCTCCGTTATGTATTTATCTGCTTTGGGGTGAGCTGTACGTGCCCTTCCTCCCCATAATCCGGAATGGTTACATTTGCCTTGCTGTTTAATGGTGCAGAGACGAAGGAATCGAGGATGGGGAGCGGGGGTCTATTCCAGTAAAGGTTAACACTCCCCCCCCCCACCCACTCACAGCATTTTCCCCGGTGCTTCAGTGCAAGAAGATCTACTAAAGCTGGCTAGGAAGGGAAGGAGGGAGGACGGCGTGGGGTTGCTTTAGGCGGCCATAGCGGGACTGCGTGGTCGGGTTTTTATTTTTATACCGCTCTGCAGCAGCGTGGTTTCTTCCTCTGGGCCAAGGGCACCTCACAGAGCCAACCATCTCGCAGAGAACAGGGACCGCCGCTCCTCGCTTGCTAGAGCCCGCAGCCGTAGTGATGGCATGCGCTGCATTCGCCTCCCAGCCTCTTTCGCTGAGGGGAATGTTGACGCGGAGACTGGAAGGATGTTTGGCTTTCTCGTCAATTAGCCCGTATACATGGCACATCTGTGTGTCTACGTGTGTGTGTGTGTGGAGGGGGTGGGATGGGTTGTGCATTTAAGGTCAGAGGGAGTAAGCAGAAAGGTTACAGTCAGGAGAAGATGTCAGGCGACGGAATGGGACGCGATGTTTGCTACTCTGCTTAAAGGCTGCGCCGTAGAACTCGGCGTCTTGCACTTAAAACGTTGTGGAGTCTCTGATTAGCAGGCTGGTGTCAGAAGTAGCAGTGCCCTGCCAGATACTGAGCTGGCCATAGCCCAAGAGAGCTCTGTCCATAGTGCTGCAAGCCCTATTTCCTCCTCTCTTTTGTTGTAAATATTTGGCAACAGTAAAGCAGATGCTTTAATGCTTGCTAGCTTCATTTCCCTTTCACCTGCCATATTGAAGAGCTAATGTGATTCTTTGAGAAATGGCCAACCATGGCATGCTGGGCAAGAGTTAGCATTTAAGAGAGGAAACACACATTATTTGCCTCAGACCTGTTACTTCCCATTTGAGCCCCACTTACTAATTTTTTCCCCCAGTCCTTGCTTTTATTTCTCTCTTTTCCCCATCATTTTTAATAATGGCAAATGTATAATGGAAGTATTTACTTTAGAAATAAATCCAACATAGAAAAGGAGAAAAGTTTATCTCAAATGATTGTTTTAAGCATTCATTGTTTTCCTAATGTCATATTCTGGTTACAGGACCTTAAAGACAGAAGCCAGCTTTTGGATGGGAGGTTCTGCTTGTATTTATTTTGAAAATGTTACTGATACTACAATTTTTCCCTATTCTATATTGGAAAGATTTGTCTTCTGAATTGTGCATTTAATAGTTCTAACTTAAAAGACAAATTAATACATGAAAATTATACATTAATAAGTGTTCTTGTAGCCATTTCAAATCTATTCCATTAATCTGATAAATTTTCCCAAATCAGTTGTCCATTAAAGTTATAGGCCTCAAACTGCAATCATCATCAAAGGGAGACATTTATGGAAAACTTTCATGTCTTTAATATCGTAGGCAACTTTTTCCAACTTTTTTTTTACATTATGATTGAAAAATGTAGTAAATATTTTGTACACACTTTGCATGGAAAGCTTTTGTTGAAATTCATATCACTTTATTGACATCACATTTTGAATGCTGAGGAGGCAATATTTAGTAAATATTGAATATTGAAAATTTATAGGGTCTCAACGGACTAATTTCTGAGAAATCTTCAAATTGTGATGTTGGGAGAAAGATTGGGAGGTCCTTTTCTATAGTTTTCTGCTCAATCCAAACAGCACTGACTGCCTAGAATAATAATAAAAAAAGGTTGCCCGGCTTCTATTTTTTTAATGCATTTCAATACTTTTAATATAAAAGCTATCTATATTTTTCTATTGAGAATGAATGCTGTAGCATGGTGACATTCTGAAATTGCCATGAATTCTGCTGGCAATTTGGAAAATAAGTACATATATAAGTTCATAAATATATTTCTCCAAGCCATGAGGTGACGAGTTGTTCTTTGATGTCTAGTTCCTTTTTAAATTTGGTCACTTTTATCTGGTCTTGTAAGCTATTTTTATTGAGTGTGTAGCTACTGTAGCTCTCTAAACTTCATACATAAATACCAAAGGAAAAAAGAGCAAAAATTGTTAGCCACCTTGAACTTGAGGTAAGCCAACCTATATGTTTGTCAAAAATTTTCTCCCCCCACCCCAATTAGAATTCCTAAGTGATTCCCTTTCATTTTCATGGAGAATGAAAATAATCCCAGGAAACTAGCTTTTGGGGATAATTAAATTGAGTTTACTAAGATGATTTGTGCTGATACACCTTCCCATCAGAATGAAAGGGGGGACTTATACTGTATCTAAAAGAGTCCAGTTAATCTGTGCAATATTCACTTTAAAATTTTCCATAAAGGAATTGGATAATCTTTACTTGATTGTTTAAAAGGCTGAACATGCACTGCTGTGCCATCCTGACCCCATTCATCTGATTTCTTAAATAAACTAAGTTTTGTTTCCAGATTACATCTAAACATGCCCAGGCAACCTATTTTTTTTTTCCTGCTGTATCTTGGTGACATTGCTTTCATCTCATCCTAGCTCATGAATGAAATAAACTTAAAGTTGTCCTTAGTTATATCTGTATTACACAGCAAATTTCATGCTGGAATAGTTCTCCACTGACTTGAAGTTGAGTCATGAGCAATTCACCAAAGAAGTAAAAAAAAAAAAAAGGCCCTGAAAGGTAGCAAGCATTAGCTAAGCTATTTCTTCTTCTAGCATAACAGACTTTCAGTGCTGTAGATCTTCTCAAAAGTCTTATATGCCAAAATCTTAAAAGTCCTTAAGATTCAGTATCTTTCTTTTCCACCGTGTGACCACCCCAAAGAAATAACTCTTTTTTTTTTTTTGTCTTGGCTTATAAATGGCTCCAAAGCAAGGAATCTGACTCTTCAGTTTTTCTAATCTAAGAAGGGTTTTGCAGGTGAGTAAGTTTGTAGTTATCATGAAATGTACAGGACATGTTTCTACCCATGAATTAATTGAAAACAACCAGATCTTAAGAGAGAATTATGCCAAAGATGCTTTTTCAAAGGAAACTGGACTTTGTTTTTCCTTAAAGATGTTTTGCTTCTCATCCAAGAAGCTTCAGTCAAAACTGAAGAAGCTTCCTGGATGAGAAGCAAAATATCCTCAAGAAAAAAACAAAGTCCAGTTGCCTTTTTAAAAAGCATCTTTGGGACAGCCATGACCTGGATAACTGAGAATCTTCATAGATATCAAGAGATAATTGTGTAAACACGGGCAGGGAATTATCAGAAAAAAATTTGTGTTCAGCACCAGCACATGTCTTTGTAGCTTATGATAAATAAGCTTATGATAAATAAGCTGCCTGGGAAAGCCAAGGGAAATCATCAAAACAATTAAACAATGAAAATTAGAATATTTCGGACATGTGATGCTACACCCAGAAAAAATACGGCATACTCCATTTAATCCTCCAGGGAAATATTGAAGGCAAACGAGGTCCAGGCAGAAGGAGAACATCGTGGCTTCAAAATCTAAGGGATTGGTTTGGACAAAATTCAGCAGCACTTTTTCATGCGGCTGCTGATAAAAACAGGATTACCAACATGATCACCAATGTCTGATAAAAGATATGGCACAAGAAGAAGAAGAAGTGGCAAATGATGTATTAATATCTGATGCTAGCCACTCAGAACCCACTGTCTAGCTGCATCATTGGATTTCTGGATATAAATTTAATTATGTAGCATTGATGTAGCTTGCATGTCAGAATGGGACACATTAGAATTAAAGTTAAATATTTGATTTTTATTTTGGCTTTCTGCTTATGGGTTAAGGATTTCCACAGGATTGTGCAGAAGGCCCTATACCAGTAAAAGGTCTTTTGACACTCCTAAGATCATGACACTTATATTTTATTACAAGAAGAGTGAATAATAAAATTAACAAATTTTAATATTTAAAAAAATATTTAAAAAGTGAGATAATAATGTGTAGAAAATCAAAATGTGGTGAAAGCAGGTTTTTGGCAAGACATAGAAAATTCACCAGAGTGGGAGTCAATTTCACTTTCCTCAGGGGAAAGAATCCCCTGTTTGAGTGTTAATACCAGTGCTAATACCAAGAAAACCCTTTCCCACATTCTCACATCATCATAGCATACATTGACCCAACAGGAAAGATTCCAAATTTAATGAACTACAAATGCACAAATTTACTTTGAACATAACATGCATTTTCATGGTGGCATCTGGTATTCTTATACATTTAAGTTTATGTAAAGTAAGTGTAAGAATGCTAGTTTAGTTGAACCAGGAAGTATGAACCATAGGATAACAGATTAGAGACAATATACTCAAATACAAGCCAGGATCACAAAAGAAACCAAAATATCACACTGAGGAGCCATCTATAATCGAAGAACAGCTGAAGGATTTAGGAATGCAATAAGACCCAGAAAGGAATAGTTGCTTTATTTTTTGATGCATTTGAGTCAGTGTTGACTCCTAGTGTTGGCTCCAATCTGGAGAAATCCTGCAGTATTTTGGCAAGATTTCAGAAATGGTCTGCCATTGATTCCTTCCTAGGTTTGAGAAAGAGTGATTAGTCTAAGCTCAGTCAGCTGGTAGGGGGCCTAGAACTCAAGGCCTTCCAATTTGTAGCCTGATGCCTTAACTACTGTCCCAAACCTCAACTCTTATCAAAGTTTAATTCAGTGTTTCACAGTCTTCAAGATGGCCTTATTATATATGAATCAAACTATCTCTAGCTTCTGCAATGCTCAACTTGCAATACACATTAATTCTTAC